TTTACCATAAAAAGAAGACAGAGGTTTTCAAGAATAAAACCTATGTTGTCACAAAAAAGTTTATTCCACGTGACCTATTGGGTAGTTAGATTCTACTAGCAATTTTATGACCATGGAAGTCCTTTCAAAAGGAATTCACACCAGAGATAAGTAAAAAGGGAACCTTCCTGAAATCAATCAGATAATAATCTAACCTGTGATGGGAGGTAAGACTAGCCAAAATTGGGTTGTGATTTAGAGATATTCCCAATGACTGGCTTAATTCTAAAGATAGGAGAAAGTTACTTTTTACTGTAGCTGTTACTTTTTACTGATTCTTGTCTATGTTCTTCTTACGGCCAATAGTAATAGTAATAGGATAAATAATATATGCAAGCAATAAGAGAGAGGCTTGGTTTGAATCCAGCCCTGATACTCAGTAATAATAAATGTGACTTATTATTAGCCTTATTATAGAAGCCTCAGCTTCACCAAATAGGATATTCAATCCACATCAATTCATTAAAACACAGATACACAATCCAGCTCACCACTGGTCTAAGAATTTTGTGGCTCATGTTGTTTTGTTGTTTTGTTTGTTTGTTTGTTTGTTTGCTTGTTTGTTTTAAAAGATGACCAGTAAGGGGATCTTAACCCTTGACTTGGTGTTATCAGCACCACGCTATCCCAATGAGCCACGAGCCAGCCCTAAATGTGGCTCATGTTGTAAGATACTTTGAAAATGGTGGTATACAGTATGGGATCAGTAAAAGATAACCACTGATATCACAAGAATGTTACTATTATTGTTGTTGTCAGAGTAGTTAGGCATTGGTTCCTTTGCAAGATTTCCGGATAATAAAAAGCTACACCAGATGGAGAAAAACAACAATTTATAAGACATACAGGAGAATATTTTCATAACCTTGGAGCACGTAGACTTTTAAATAGGATATACAAAGCACTACCCAACAAAGAAAGCTTTGAGAAATGAGAATACGTTAAAATTAAAAGTTCCACTAGAACAATGATACTGTTAAGAGAGTAAAAAGCAAGCCACAGAGTGGAAGAAGATATTTGAAATAAATATAATCAGCAAAGAAACGATATACAAAATACATAAAGAACTGCCATAAATTAAGAAAGAAAACCCAATGGGAAAATGGACAAGAGATTGAAATAAGCACTTCACAAAAGATGATATTGAAACAGTCATTAAACACATAAAATTGTGCTCAACTTTACACTAATAGCTTAAAAAAAGAAAAAGGAAAAGAAAAAAGATCTGATAATATCGAGTGTTGACAAGGATGAGGAACAACTGGAATTCTCCTGGGCTGCTGATGGGAGCATAAATTATTTTAATCATTTTGGAAACTGTTTGGCAGTATCTAGTAAACTTGAACATATGCCTATTCTGTGACCCAGCAATGCCACTCCTAGGTATATACACAACAGAAATGTGGACAAGTATATCCTGACAACAGGGACAGGAGAGCTCACAGCAACATTGCTCATGATCCCCCAAACCTGGGAACAACCCAAATGCACCTATTAAAAGTTTTCCATATGTTCCAGTTCACTTGGAACTGTCACCGGTTATACCTGTTATCCTGGCATAACTGTTTTGATAATGGCCATTCTAAGTGGGGTGAGATTATATCTCACTGCAGTTTTGATTTGCATTTCCCTGACTGGTATAACTGTGAATAGTGTCTAGTTTCTAAAGTGCCCTGGTGAATGCCACCAGCATCGATGTGGGACTGAGGACCTCCAAAATGCTGTTCTCCCATAAAAGCAACAAGAGCACTGGCAAAATCTGTCAAAATAAACTTTTTCAAAATTGTGGAGATTAATATAAGTCCTGGAACAATTTGAAATGTGTTTATTAAAGACAAACGGCTGAATCTCCGTAAGAACTGCAAGTTTTGTGGCATTTTAACTTCCCTATTCCCATTTTTGTCTCATCTCCATAATCACATGAAAACCAGCAGCTTAGCAACCACTGGAGAGGGCAGAATGGGTCTGGAGTGCTCCCAAAACACCATTCTTAGAAAATAGTCATTATCTGACTTGTCTAGCAGGTCCCAGGAAACCCCATTCACAGGGCTATGGCTATTTGACCTCACTCCTGTAAGCGTCTTCACTCCAGGGGCATTTGTGAAAAACAATCAGTGACAATTGTTTAACATCATAGCTACCTGAGGCAGTGATAGTTGGGGCAAATAAGAAATTGACCAAGAAACTTAAAGAAAGGCTGGGGAATAAGATTTCCATAGAGGGCTTTGAAAAGCTTTGACATAGTCCTGGGAATCTAGATGGTCATACAGATACATAGAGCTCTGCACATACCCAGGAAGCCCTGAGAAGGTCCTAAGCTCACCCTCTGGCTGACTGTAATGCTCTGTAAAAGCAGAGGTAAAGGACAAGTAAGGCAGAGTTGAAAGCGAGCTGCCTAAGCATTGAAGATGTACTTCAACATGCACGCAGAAGTCCTCAGGAAAGACTGGGTGACTTATTTCCTCTAGGCATTTAAGAAAAATCTTTGTCCAATCATTAGCTGACCACTAAACTAGTTAACCAGAGACTTTAGTGGACACATAGAACAAAGTATAAAGATTTTACAGATTTCAGGAAACTCAATAAACAAGGAAGCACCACTAACAACAACAACAACCCTGGAGGATGGGGGTGGATCTGCTTTCAAGAGTTACCACATCATATTACTTAAAATGTACAGTTTCAACCAGAAAGTGTGAGACATGCAGAGAAAAAATAAAGTATGGTTCATACACAAGAAAAGAAGCAGTCAATAGAAATTGTCTCTGAGGAAATCTAGATGTTGAGAGTGTGCTCAGCAAAGACTTTAAATCAACTATTTTGAATATATTCAAAGAACTAAAGGAAACCATGTCTAAAGAAATAAAGTATGAGAATGATATCTCACCAATAGAAGACATCAATAGAGAAATAAATTTTTTTAAAAAGAGAACAAAATATAAATTCTGGAGTTGAAATGTAAAATAGTCAGAAGCACTCAATAACAGATTCGAGTTGTTAGAAAAAAGAAACAGTGAATGTGAAGTAGATCAGTTGAGATTATCCAGTCCAAGGAACAGAACAAAAAAAAAAGAATAAAGAAAAATGAAGAGAGTCTCAGAGACCTGTGGGACACAATCAATCATACTAATATAAACATAATAGAAATTACAGAAAAAGAGGAGAGAGATAAATAGGCAGAAAGACTATCTAAAGAAATAATAGCTGGAAATTGTCCAAATGTGATTTAAACACACACACACACACACACACACACACACACACACAAATCTACACATCCAAGAAGCACAATTAATTCCAAGTAGAGTAAGCACAAAGAAATTGATACCAACACACATCATAATCCAAGTTTAAAGAAAAAGACAAAATATTCAAAGCAGGAAGGGAGAAACAACTTATCATGTACAAGGAATCTTCATAAAATTAACAGCTGATTTTACATCAGAAATTATGGAGGTCAAAGGCAGTGGGATGACATTTTCAAAGCACTGAAATAAGACAGTCTATTAAGAATTCTATATACAGCAAAACTATCCTTCACACATGAAGGAGAAATTAAGTTACTCCCAGATAAACAAAAGTATCCTGGTTTGGATGATAAAAGACATGTTCACTCTATTCAACTAGTACGCAGGGGCAGGGGGAGGTGTGCTGATAGGGTGCCTGAACCTTCTATTTCTTGACCTGGGTGGTGGTTACATATTTATTCTGTGATAGTTCATTGAGCGGTACATTTATATTCAGTGTACTCTTCTTTCTGTGTTTTACATCACAGATTTTAAAAAAGAAAGCACAGATGCTGTGTCTTTACACAAACAAAATTTCCACTTTACATTTCTTACTTAATTGCCTAAAGAGCAATAACTTTAGAGGACAAAGTCAGAAACTCGGAGAAATAAACTATTCCTCCAAACCTTTGTTCCAGCTGTCTCCATGCATGACATATTCTCACTGTCCATTTCACCTGATTAATCCCTGCTCTTTTTAAAATATTCAATGCTGGGCCTTATGACATTATAAAGATTGGTTCCTGTGTCTGTTGCTCCTATCATACGTGAACATTCTAAGACATATTCTCACTGTCCATTTCACCTGATTAATCCCTGCTCTTTTTAAAATATTCAATGCTGGGCCCTATGACATTATAAAGATTGGTTCCTGTGTCTGTTGCTCCTATCATACGTGAACATTCTAAGAGTAGAAAGTGTGTCAAAATCTTCTTGGTATTCTCGATAGGACTGGGCATAGCACACAGGAAGCACAAAATAAAGGTGTGAGAAATTAATTAATTAATGGAATAAATGAAGGAAGCCTTCTTAACACAAGAAAAGTTCTTGCAGGGCTTTGGTGGTCACTACAACAAAGCGTATTTACGGATTTCAGGAAACTAACCAAACTCAAAGGTTCCTCTAAAAAAGAAAAAAAGTAACCCTGAAGCAATTAGTAGGGAAGTTTTTTTTAAAATAATTAACACTCCAACTTCAAACAGTGGGTAGAAAGTTCTGATAAGATAAGGAAGAAAAACTGGGTATAGCCAGTCATTCCTGAGATGTCATTATTTTACTTTATGATTAATATTAGAAGAGAACATATTACGATAAAAATTTTTGACAGCTCAAATCATGTCTAAATTAAGGAACGTATGATCCCTTTCTAAAGTGCTACACAAATGGTACTGAGACTACACTGAGAAATCCTCCAGCTGATGGCAAACAAATCAAGCTTCTCAAATCTAACTCATAACCCTCCTCAGACTTCACTTTGAAACCTTCTCAGTGAGGTCTCTCATTTCTAGAATTCAGTACAGATGTTTATTTTGTCATTCACCATTTTTGTTTCCATAATAAGCAACAAATAAATCCCACTGCTAAAAGGAAAAAAAGGATGGGGTACTTAGGCAAGAGAGGAAGGTATCAAATTCAGAGGTTTAAAATGCCCTGCAACCGAAGTGCCCAACAAACCTGAAAGAGGAAGGCATCGCCCAGGGAATTGCTGAGACAGAAGACAAAGTCCTTCTTGGGGTGCTCGGGCACGGCCTGCACAATGCTGTTCTCCACCCAGACGGCGTGCTTGGGGATGCTGTTGTGGTCTATTCCAGACCTGCCATCACTCTCGTAGAAAAAGAGTGTGCATCCTGAGAAAACAGAACAGGGGTCTGTGTGAGTATTTGGTGCTTGGGCAACAGAAACTGACACTTGTGCTGCATCACCAGGAAAGGGCTGGAAATTAAAGTGAGTGGAACCCAGGAAGCAAAGAGAATGGGGCCGTGCTTGTACTCAAGTTTTGGATGGGCCTAGAGAAGAGCACAGATCTTAAATCACAGCTCCTCAACCTGCATGAGATCCCTTCACACATGCTCTCAAGTTAAGATCCTTACTTTCTGTTTTAGAATGTCTGGTTACAGTTACCCTCACAGTCATGTGGGGGCTTTGTGGCTCCTTAGCCCAAAGGCAACTGGTAAACACTGTTCTTCTGGCCAAAACTGTACCTAGCAGTGTGTGGCAGTCACTACCATCCCACTGGAGCCCGTTCCAATACGCCTTACGTGATATGCAACCGGGAAACTCTAGAGAATGTATTGGGTTTCTGGACTAGCCCTTGGAAAAAACAATACATAATACTGACCTTAGGTGCTTTAAGGATAAGGAAAGAAATGATACATTTTTGGTCTCAGATTTTATCTAGAAATTTTTTTCTAGAAATAAACCTTGTCCTTGTTCCTACTGAAAGAGGAAATACACGGCACACATATGAAGGCCTGGGGGAAGCCGGAGTCCAGGTCCATACTTAATTACACTGTGAAACTAATGAGACAGTAGCAACAGAAATATTTCATAGGCTGTGGCAACATGGCTTCAATAGATTCCCTCCATCACTGACTAGACTTAAGTCTCACTTAAACAGCAATTACTGGCTGAACACTTATTCTCAACTAATCGAAACCAATTTCAGGAGAAACCCGGGCAAAACTTAGGACTCTTCCTCAACTTCAGCATATGCTACTCAGTCCATTTTCACCATCTTTCTCACCACCAGCAAGTGCCACACTTTATGTGAGTTGCAAAGCCCCTGAAAGTACAATCTATTCAGCTACAAAATGAGTCTGTAAAGCAAATTTGCTCATAGGCGATTAGTAATACAGAATGATGTGGATCAATGAAAAAGTCACATTGGTTCAAAGGCAATGTTTCCTAGCCCATAATATTTCACATTGACATGTTAATAGCTGCTGAATGCCACACTCCCACATGCAGCTGAATGTAGCATGCTGGTATGCACTGGTACAAAATGAAAAAATTCATTTCAGCTTTTCCCTTGACACAGTGTGACTACAGGCTCTGTCTAAAAGTCCTGTTGCACAGTGCTCCTGAGCTTTCTGATTTCACCCATGTCGCCCTTGTCTCCATCATTCAGGAGTCTCGACTATTCCTTTTACCCATTCATGCTATATTTGCTTCCTTTTTTAAAGGTAAATTCCTGTGCTTTTTTTTTTTAAAGGTAAAGTCTTATAGTGTTTATTAGAAATTTTTAGTAGCATTTTAGTAGAGCTGTTTTTTCGTTTTATTTAGTTTGGGATTTAAAAGTTGCATTCACATAATTTAAATACACACCTGTTGAGTAGTATGCCCCAACTCTATTTTTCCCATAATCCCTATGATTTTGAAGATCGCAAGGTTTTTTTAGGAATACTAATATCAAATCACAGCATCATCTATACCTCCTATTTCCATGCCTTAAGATAGCACAGATCAGAGATAAAGAGAAACAAAAACTAGAATGAAAGGGGGAAGACTATTTTCCTTCAAATCGGAGGTTCTCAGGGTGGGGCAAATTTGGTGACGTCTATAGACATTTTTGGTTGTCACAACCTGAAGAAGGAGAACATGCTACTGGCATCTAGTGGGCAGAGGACAGGGAAGCTGCTAACCAACCTACAATTCCCAGGACAGCCCCCCACAACAAAGAAGTATCCAGAAAATGTCAAAATAGTGCCACAGTTGAGAAAACCTGCTCTAAATAATCTTTACAACTAATATATACTAATGATCAGTAAATTTTTAGCATAAAAGGAGTAACATACTTTATCACAGGTTGAGAACAGAGAAGGAAGTCTTCAGATAATGAATTAGGAAATACCCACAAATCCTGGCGTGTGCACACTTTGAACATTGTACGGTCTTCCCAAGTAGCTGTTTTCATCATTTTTCAATTTTGCTTTAGAATCATCTGCAACAGTGGTGGCTGAAATCAGCTTTTACTCAATTATCAACTTGTTCCAATTTTAAGACTAACATGAAGCAGCAAATCCAAAAACTACATAGTCCCTGATAAAAGTCTCTGTACCCTCATCTTCACTTAAACATGATCTGTATCCTTTTCAGTTGTCCACAGCGGCACTCCAGAGGCACAATCTAGGTAAAAATCTTTTTTAAAAATTATTTTGTCTAATGTTAAAGAATCTTTGGAAAAAAATCTCTATTTCGTAGTTCCCAGGTGTTCTCCTTTTTATTTCTCAATATCCAAGAGCTGCTAAGAAAAAGTCAGCAACAAGACTTGCTTTTGAGTGGCAAGGACAAAGCCCCGAGTATGTCAACATATAATGGGAACCTGTCGGGCTTAAGAAGCGAAGGACTCAGTGGCTCTGTGCTCTGGGCCTGGATCCTGACAGATTGTGTCACTCAGATCTGGGTCACCAAGAAAGTGAAGGCTCCCTCCCCTATTAGGCCTGTGGGCTGTGCTCCTGAATGCCTGCACCTTGGCTTCCCATGTCACTTATTCTCTAAGCGAATGGCAGAAACAAAATACCCCACTCTGCTACGTCCCAAGTATCACCTGATTATTTTTATTCTATGCCACTAACATTGCTGTTCAAAACTTTAGAGTAAGAATTACCTGGGAAGTTGTTTAAACTGCTGTATTAGTCTGTTTTTGTTGCTTATAACAAAGTACACTGAACTGGGTGATTTATAAAGAAAATGAAATTTATTGCTTACAGTTTCTGAGGCTGGGAAGTCCAAAGTCCATCTGGTGGTGGTGACAGTGACCAGGCGTCTCATGTTGCAAGATGGTGGAAGCAGAGAGAGAGCACAGAGAGCAAAAGACAGACTCTCCTCTGCTTTTAAAGCCCTCAGAACCACACCCCTAAACACCATTTTTAATCCATTCACTACTTCACAGTCCTACAATCTAATCACCTCTTCAAGGCTCCACCTTTCAATTACCATAATAGGATTTCCCATCCTCTTAACAGTCAGTTTCTCATATCTAAAAGTTTCTAATATATAAAACTTGGTGGACACAATTCAAGCTTCAGGGAGTTTTGGGGGGACATAATTCAATCCACTATAACTGCAGATTCACGGCCTTTTATGGACTGAATTATGCCCCTGCCCCCAAATTCCTATGTTGAAGTCCTGACCTCCACTACCTGAGAATGTACTGTATTTGGAGATAGAGCCTTTAAAGTAGTTAAGGTAAAATGGGGTCATGAAGGTGGGCCCTAATCCAATATGACTAGTGTCCTTATAGGAAGAGGGAATTTGGACATAGGTGTGAAGGAAAGACCATGTGAACATACCAGAAGAAGATGGCCATCTTCAAGTCAAGAAGAGGCCTCAGAAGAAACCCACCCTGCCAACACCTTGGTCTCAGACTTCTAGCCTCCAGGACTGCAAGAGAGAAAGCTTATTTACACCACCCAGTCTGTGGTGCTTTGTTATGGCCCCTCTAGCAAACTAATACAGGGGCCCACCTCTGAACCCTGTGATTCAGCAGGTATGAGGTACAACCAGAAAGCACCTCAGATGACTGATGAAGGTGGTCTTCGAATCAAGCTGTTGAGAAAGCAGCAGCAATTAATAAATTGATAAGACAGGCTGCTAAAGGGAAGAGAGGCTGCAGCGTCCAGTGATACCTGTACTTGAGGGAGAAGCAGGAGGCGGGAGAGGACGAGGCCTTTCCCACGTCACCACAGCAGAGCAGCTGGCATGATCCAGGCCCTTCAGACACAACCCTGTATCACCTCCACATCAAGCTAGGGCAGGTCACACATGAGAAAGAACAGTAGCAGTTCTCCAAAGTGCTCCCACAGGATGAACACCCATGTTTTGTGAGCAAGTCCACTGCATCCAAGACTCATCAAAAGATAGTGCTGTAAGACTAGCTGAGCAACAAGACAGAAGGGGCCCAGGCCCCTGGATGACTTCATAGGAAAGAGTTACCAAACAAGCTTGAGCTTGTCTACTTCTTAAAGGTGAGAGGAAAATAAAGTTCTGTCTTGCCTATGGCACCTGGCACTGTCATTGTCATTGTGGGTCTCTGTGACATGCAGCAAAACCTATATCCTAACCAACTCGCTCCCTTCCTGGTCCACCAGGCATCGAAGCAACAGCTGGTACCACTGGTCACAGGACCCACCACACCCTGCTGTCGCACAGGGTTGGCCTGCACACCACTGCACAGGCATGAGCCCACCTCACTGAGCAGAGCTGGAGGCTGTTCCACGCCTCTAGGTTTCACCAAGCGCAGTTGATGAAATCCAGTATCAAGTGGTCTAGTATAGGCACCACACCTGGTAAGCCCAAGATGCTTCTTCCTGTGCCCTTTCTTTAATCTTGTTAACCTGTCTAACCTATCTTACCGTTTACTAACCCTGCTTCAAATCTAGCTTGTGACAAAAACTCTAAGTGACCTTGCAAAGTATTTGCACAAACATATTACAACTTCTACACTACCAAGCCATATGCAGGTATGTGCAAAAATATACACACATACTTCACAAATGTATGCAAAATGACAATGAATAGCAACATATAAAAGCTTCATGGTTCTACAAAAAGAAAATACTGATATATACATGTCCGTATGTATCTGTACATAGGCATACTCAAACATACAAAGTTTGACTATAAAATAGCAACTGACCTTTTCAGAAACATAAGTTAGACATTTCATTTACATCAGGTTGAACCCTATGAAATTAGAGATATTCTACTGATTTTTTTTAACCTAAAGAAAAGCAATTTCTTAGGATTTAAGCTAATGATTTCCCCTCCAAAGCATTCATTTTGGGAGGTATTTCACTAACTTGAATGATTCTAAAAAAAATGTTTTTGCAACTCATCCTTCCAAACTGCCATCAGAACCAGCTGGAAATACAAGGAAACAGACATGAGATGCTCCTCTAGCTTAATTGTAAAAAGAAGTAAAGGGGAAAAAAAGGAAACATTATTTGAGGGTGTGGGGGGACAGAGGGAGTTACTAATCAAGGGGTATAAAGTTTCAGTTAAGTCTGACGATTAAGTTCTAGAGATAAGTCACAAATCATTGTACCTACAGACTACAATACTACATATTGCACATTTAAAAACGTAAGAGGGTAGATCTCATGTTAAGTGCTCTTACCACAATAAAAGAAAATTTCCTAAAAATTAGCATGAAATAATTCCATACGATAACAAAGAGAAAACCCCATCAGGCAAGTATGCGCACAATGGATCGTGCAACGGCGATGCGGCGATGCGGCGATGCAGCGATGCAGCGATGCAGCGCGGAGCCAGGGCCCCTCGCTTACCTTTCAGGGACACCCAGTAATGCTTCCACTTCCTCCGGGTGGCCGACTCCACCTTCTTGTTCTTCTTGTGCACCAGGAAGTTCTTGACGGCCAGGGCTCCGGCCTTGCGCACCGTGCCCTGCGCGGCCGTCAGCAGGATGTCCGAGCGGCCCGGGGAGCTCAGGGTGCCGCTGCTCTGCTCGTCGCTGTGCGCGGAGCCCGCCTCCTCCAGGCTCTCGCTGTTGGCCGTGCTCATCTGCAGCTCCCGCCGGAAGTTCTCGTACACGCCCTGGCGAGCCGCGTCCCCGGTGGAGCTGCTGCCGCTGTCGCTGCCCACGAAGGCCCGACCGGCGGGCGGCGAGTAGCTGGAGTTGGTGGCATTGGACCGCCTGGACAGGAGGTCTGTGTCGGTGGTGGCCCCTTCGATCCCGCTGTCTGCAAACTCACTGCCCTCGCCTGCGTTAACATCCTTGGGAGCAGGAAGAGAGAGGGAAAAAAGACAGGCATCATGCAGAGGGGCTCCCAGGAGCCCGGGTAGCATCAGGGGACCGACCACCCAGGGCATGGCTGCTCCCCAGCCCTCCTGGAGCAAGTCCTCCTTGACCCCTGGACCTGCCCAGACCCAGCTCGCCAGCAGAGCAGCAGAGCCCCTGGGGAAACCTTAAGACACCCTGCATGAAGGCAAACAATTTGGAAAGTTCAAGAAATAGAAAAGAAACAAGGAGAACATCTAAGAGCTTGTCATTTATCTAACTAAGATAACTAACTAATTGGCAAATCAGCTGTTGAGATTCTTACCACCTCCATGCTGAGAGAGCTCAGCACCCTCACCCTCATCAGCCTGCCTTGAACTCCAGGAAATTCTGCAGGCAGATTAGTTAGTTCTTCTGGAGGTAGGGGGTTACAATGGATAGCTGGGTCTTTCCAGCTGATTTTTTTTTTCTTCTTTTGAAATAAATAAAAAGCCTGCTTAGGAGTCTATTCTATAATGAAGTGACTCACAAGATAGCTAGTGCACCACCTCACCCACTCACCCAGCAAGGCCCCATATCCCAGGAGCAGGCAAGAGTCCGCATGCTCTAATCAGCTTCGCTTCTTGAAAACAAGCAGCCTCTCACTCCACATTGTGCTAAATAAGTCTGTGGGGCCCACAGCTCCAAGTCGGGCTCTCCAATTACCTGGCCCTTTCAAAACTGGGATGCTAGGAGCCCGAAGCAGGCTACTCACTGCCCCTGGGCCAAGTGACAGCGTGGGGCAACTGCCAAGATGCTGGGGATATCAATTCCCAGTTTAAATACATTCAAAACTTCCAAAGCTGCCCCTGCTCTCGAGGTGAACATTTCCAGGACAGACAGGTTTGTTCTTAAATCAGAATCTTAATTGCTCCAAAGTGCTACAGGCATTTTCATAAACAATAATTAAATAATGGTAGTAATCAAGGGAGGATAATGACAGCAATACGGGGCAAGACAGCTCAACAGTCTTATGGATAAAAAACCAGACTGATGTTTCCCAAAGAAAGAGAACAGCAACATGAGTCTGACATAGTAGAGATGGCAAAGCAACATAGTTAGGTGGTTTCACCATTTTTTTGAGGCTTTAATCTCATCAAAATCTAATTATGGTTCAAACATGTACAAACTAACAGGATACTCTGAATTGCCATAAAAAATGAATGCTTTGGGCTCACATATTTGTTGAAAGGCAATGGGGCAGAACGAGCCATGCCACAAACTAATCTTGTCCCACACAAAGTCCAGATAGGTGCTGTGCCCATATCACCAAGAATCTCAGTCAATTATACATTACAACTGTTCCAAGTTCACCTTCATCGGGAATAAATACTAAGTGAGCAACTAAAAGAGGTGCAGAGCCAGACATGAAAAAAAGTGGGGTGTGGGTAGAACAGTAGCAGGAGGTAGTTGAGCAGGCTTCTAAGGACCACTTCCATTGCAGATGGAGGTTAGACCCCTGGGAGTTAAAGGGACTTATGAGGACAAAGAAACCACAGAAGCAGCTCAGATGCAGACCCCTGTAATTAGGGGCCAGTCACTTTGCTATGTCCTGTTCTACTAACAGGCATGGATCGTCATGAAGGACCCAGATCCATTCGGTAAAAATTCTCTACACAAACAGGAAAACACTGTTATCAACCCACATTTCACCTTGGCAGGGAAATTAACCGTATACTTCTCTGCTGATATAAGAAAATAAGAATATTAGACAATCATTGATTATTCAAGCAACCATGAGTTGTGGAAGACTAGGAGTCTGTGAATTTCCCAAACTCTTGGATTCATTCTCACATGTCTCAATTCCTCTCTGAAGGAGGTTAGGTATGCATGAAGGAATCTGCCATAATTACTCTCCTCTAAAATGAAAAGAGGTAAGATGCTTTTCTATAAGACGGGGAAAGACTGGAGCCCAGGGCATGGAGAGGCCAAGGGCCTCAGCTACGCCCCCTCACATCCACATCCAGCCCAGCAATGACCACCCAGCTGCCACCATAAGCTCTCTGGGCTCCTCTGGCAGAATGAGAGGGATGCCTCGACCATACCTCACCCACCCTGCTCCCTGGTCCTCCCAGCGTATCACCCTCCCCTTTCCCCTCTCCCCCTCCCCAGCAACTGCTCCACAACATCTTAGAATGTAAAAAAATAATAATAAATAAATAAATAAGTTTTTAAAAAACAGGGAAAGATAAGATACACAGGTAACATCCCTAGTCTATAAGAGAGAGACATCGGTACAAAGACAGAAAGCCTTGACCTCCCATATCTTGTAATTCCCAGAGCTCCAGAACAGGAAGGAACCTTGCAAAATGATCTCCTTGATTAACAGATGAGTATGCTAGGGCTCAAAAAGTCACAAGTCTAGCTGGTGGCAGATGGGAAGTTGGAACTAGTACTTCCAAGTACCTTTTCCACTATTATATGATGGCCGTAGGGCTCAGCAGCAGGTAGCACCAGACTAGATCCTGCCTAAATATTCAACTCCATGTCTTCTCCCTTTGTTAACCAACAATGAGTGATTGTTCATCTATTTGCCTGGCAAAGCATTAAAACCTGAAAGTGGAAGAAATGGGAAGGAGGAGATGAAAAAAGGATGAGGGAAAAAGAGGCACAGACAGGACAGGCCAATTCTCAAGAGCACATCTCTCTATAGTTTACTACATTCCACAAACCATTCACCCTTTTACAGAATGAATGCCCTTATGTCTCTCTCAATTTAAGCTAAAAGTTAAGGTCTTGATGGATCCTCACCACTTTGTGAGACCTGAACATCAGCTCATGCCAACTGATGCTGTAACCTTGCAATGGCCCAGGTTGTGTGTGTTCAGCTCTGGGATGGTCACTAAGCTTAGCAAAGGGATTCCTCCAGGTAAGAGGGCCGCTGGCCCCAGCTGAGCTTGCATAATTTTGGAGCATGCAACTCAGTGTCATCTCTGGGGAATGATTTTGTATCTGGGATCCAAGATAACTCCACCTTGTCTCCAAAGTGATTAATTAGGTTCGGTGGTACACATCCCCCCACTGATATGTGGCCCAGACCACTAGAAAACAGATGCTGACTGCCCATCCCCAGTCCGCACTTAGTCATGAAGCTTGGGATATCCCAAATAACCAGAAGCCCGTTCCCTAGCATCGTGGGAAATGAGGTTGGCCCAGCCAGAGGCACTACTCAACACTATTCTTTCTTTCCCTCACTGTGATGCAAACTGTCTTGATGGCCATCTTTCTGAAGGGCTCCTCCTCCTACCCACCTCAGTCTCAAGGAGACTTCACACCTGAGCAACCTGACTCCCCACTCCCTGAAGCACTGCAAACCTCCCCACTCTTCCCAGCAGTAAGGAATACAGAAGATTGACACCAGGGGTAGTCCCATGGGAGCCTCGGCATTCTTTGTAGTAAATGCAAGGTATGTTCCTTATCATCTAGTTAAACATCTTAGTATCTGATTTGTCCTAGAATAGCCAAATGCTAAATTTTAATCAAAAAAGTCTGAGGAAATCAAGGAAAATGGTAAGACCTTAGGTAAATAGAGAAATAATTCCCAACATGATCCAGCAGAGATTTCCAGGAAACAGCTCAAAGTAAACTCTCCATGTCAGAAACACTCCACTGAAGAGACTTCCGATTAGAAACAACATTCACAGGGTAGCGAGGCTCTTCAATCCCGCTCTCCCAGGACAAATCCTCCCAAACCAGATTTTCAGAGCACTCGCCAGTTTCCATCTCACTTGCAGTTTCCCAAAATGAATGCATGCACTTTTCTACTGGATGCACAAGTGGCCAGCTGTAGCCCAAAACATACAACAGCTGCTGGGCAAGAGTTTTCCTACCCATTGTGGTTGGACAATAAATGCTTAAATGAGCTCCCATACCAAAATAGGGGAGGCAAGAGGCAACCTCAAAGACTGCTTTCGCTGCCTTTAAAACTGGAGGGCCACCCAGCATGAATGTAGACTAATGACATATTGTGGTAAGACTCAAGTTGTTTCCACAGGAGACTTAACAAATACTCTGAGGGACAGGTTTTCTGTGTTGATGACATGAGGACACAGTTTTGAAAAACAAGGTAATTCGCTACAAAGCGCAAGGGCTCTGGGACAATTCAGGGACTAGTAGAATGAGTTGGTCACTTGTAGTTATGAGCCAAATGCAATTAGAAATGGTTTCCTTGGCCACTTTAATTTCCCTGATGAATACAGCTTAGCTTTAATATACCTGTGCAGAGAAGCTAAATGTAGGAGAATTCACTGTATTTCAGTGGGGTAAGGAAATTTTGACCTGCAGAAGTCTTGAATTAGAATTATTTCTGCCTTGTTAAGTTCTAAAGTGTTCTTCCTCTAGTTTATCATCTTATTATTCCTAAAATGTAAGTGCCACCCCCCACCCCATTTTTGGTTCTCAGTATTCTCTCCTTGATACACTCAGTATACTCTCCTTTGGTAATCTAACTACAGCAAATATCAATCCTAGGTAAATTACTCTGAACCAATCTTTGCTTAAGTCTCCTCATCTGTATAAGGGGGATAACAATAGTGTCTACTTTGTAAGACACTTTATCAGATGCTGTGAGATTGAGTTAACCCAGGGAAAGTGTCTAGAACTGTGCTCAGCACATGGTACCTGTTCAAAAATGTAATTATAATTACTGTCATCTCCATCTTCAGCCTTACTGACATCTCAGCCCAAGGAGAGCAGGCATGGCCTGACCTCAGTGACTAGCTTCCTGCACCAACATGGAAAAAAGCTTGTCTGAGGAACCTGTGAAAAACAAGGTTTCATGGGGAAAACAGGCGACCAAGGCTGGTGTGAGCCTAATACTAATTAGGGCTTCTTAATTATTTTCACATTCAAAACACAGCACAATAAACTAAGAAGATGGTGACATTACTTACACTGTAAATTAGTAACTATTGGGCACTATTATTAATAATTGCCATTCCTGATTTGCTAGAAATAA